GCTTTAATGTAATCGACCCGTAAGAAATGGCAAATTACAAAAAACCAATGAGCGTTTGATATTTGTTTTTTATTTTCGATAAGTTCATTATTGTCTATTGCAGTAGTTGTACACGTGCTATGAATTCCACCGCTGCTTCACGTACGATAAACTTTTTACTGCATAACGCGCATATAAATAATCAAATGAAGCTCTGTCTCGAGTTCGAACTAAGTACAGATTGAAAATTCCGCGTTGTGATTCTTTTAATTAGCTTGTACAAAAGTGTGTGCCATTGGTAAATCTTTTTTAAGCTAGTAAACTAGGCGTCAAAACCGTTGTCCAGTGAAAGTACTTTGTTGATTGTATTTTTTTACGTTTCCCTTACCAACAGGACTACACAAATTTATCAAAAAAAAAAAAAAAAATACTTATATCATACTACAACTGGCTATTTACATTGGAACAACAATTTGACGTGGCCCAGTAAAAATTTGTTGAAAATCGCACTGCATTGGTGTACTGTTTAATCGTTTCATAGTCGACACGAGTCACGTACAACGACCGTTGCAGTATGCATGCGAACGTTTTATTTTTATGACTCGGTGTTTGTGTTAAAAAAAAAAAAAATGATTGTACATATCTACTCGTGCATTGCGCGCGTGGCTTTAATAAACGAAAAATACATTATCGTTGATTTGTATTTTCAACGATCGTCAACTCCAAAGCTGCAAACGGCCATGTTCTCTTTTCATTGTGGATCGCGTGCAAAGGACCTTTTGTGTGAGCTCGGCGGCATATTTGAATATTTCAATTTTTTACCCGAATGTTTTCCAATTCGCTACGGGACTTATAAGTTTGTCGGTAATTAGTTTTGCAAGCATTAGGGAAACGCTCGCTGCTTGTGATATATAAACTTGGCCTGTCCGTCATATCAGAGACATAATTGCCGTTTGATATGTGACGTCTCAGCTGCCACCCCCCAGTCCATATAGTTTTACCTGCGTTCTCTCTGTATATTATATTATACGAAATAACCAGTCAACTTCTCGTGAGTACTGAGGGTACTCTGAATTCATTCTCCCGCCGGAACGTATCGCAGTCGCATTCAATTACCCTGCACTTATACGTTTTGACCCTGTTAAAGAACTTCCAACGAGATTCTCGGCGTATACCAGAGCAAGTTTTCACGTGTCCAATACGCGGACACAATATTGACTTTGGTGTCATTCTCGGCGTGTACTCGTGGCTTGCGATATTACCACCCGATTTTGATAAACTCAATTTTTACTCCCCTCGAGAGCGTCATGCACTCGACCCTATTACCTGCAGAATTTGTTTCAAAGTATCGACGACGGTGTTTGGGCAGCGGAGGGTTGGAGTTTGGAAAGCGCATATACATGTCGTTCGCTCATTTATAACTGTCCTGTACTTTCTTTTCAACGCTTGTGTACATGCTCTCTGTGCTAATACTCACTGGGCATGGCAGCGCGAGGGGCTGGTCTGTCACTCAAATTGTTTTCACTTACCGTACAACATTATTGCCATTGCCTCCTCTTCCAGACGTCGTTTTTTCTCTTCGCTCTTCTCTCCCGGCTCTCCCGAACACCCGATGCACTCAAGTTTTTTGCGGTTTTCCATTTGCTGTGCATACAGTAATGTATTTCTCGAAACGTTTTCCAAAAAAACAAATTTTCTGCTCCACACTAGACGAGATTGTCCGCGTTTTACCAAATTCATATACAGTGTGATTTATTAAGAATACTGCCCCACATTTTTTCGTAAAATAATGATTTTTTTTTTTCATAAAAGTGTACAGATTAAAATTTAATTTATTTTCGTGGAACATAGTAAATATGCACATTTATTTAAAAAAAAATTATATCTAAGTGTAGTGGTAATTTTTGAAAGACAAATGGAAACCTATTGTTATTTTTTTATTGTTAAATAGAGAATGGTTTAATAAAAATGGTCGATAATCAGTTTTTTAGTATTACTTTTTTAATTAATATAATTTTTAGTCGTAGACGAGAAGGGCTTAGCGTCTCTAAACACTACTCCGCTCCATCATCGTCAACAGATTTCTAAACCTAACACTGTTGTACCCAATTGAGTGCACTGATTATGGCTACGATGACTTGTAAGAGATTTGCCGTTGGTAGTTTCGAAATCACCGAGTACTGCCTATGGGAACCCGTTTAAATGTGCAAGTCATCTTATGGCTGCAACAGCGAATAGTACTTTCTTGGGGTCCGTGGTATGCGTACAGCATGACATAACAATACATGAAGAAACAAAATGGGCGGCTTAAGTAATTCAACGATTTTTATTTTTTATGTCAAAATTAATTATTCCAGTAAAATATTTGACCAACTGAAGAATCCTATGAGCGCTATGTAATTATGATTGTAGTCATACTCACCCCTTAATTGTTATTAAATGCCTTTATTTATTTTTAAAAATATCGAATAACTAACATGTGGTAGTCGATGTGCTGTATAGTTTCGAATCAAAAATACGGGTAAATAATTGAGTCGGTTAAATTGTTTCATCAATCAAAATGAAGCGTCATGGTTGACAACTGCAACAAAATGCTATTTGTGTAATAATAAAAAATAAATATATGTTGTATCTGTAGGCAGGTTAGAAGACCATTAAATCAAAATTTAATGTTTTGCGATTAAATTACAGAAACACGCGGTGTTCAAATTTTTAAGTAACACAAATTATTTGATAGGTTTCGTTGCTCGTTTAATTTCAGTCGTATCGTTTACTTATTCAACATTTTTAAATAAAATGAACGTTCGGAGTCGATTTAAAGGAACGTAAACTTTATTAACTTTAAGAATATCGAGTTTGAGTAAAAATATTATAATTGCTCGTTTAAAATGCACGTACAACTGGGCGTGAGTGTTATCAAATCGGAATCGTACACGTTAAGTCGCTTTACGGAATTTGATTGATTATGAACAATAGTAAAATACGACTAAGAGCGCATAACACACACACACCCTACTTGTTAAACAGTATTAATGCATCATAACATTTTTTTGAGATGTCGGGACGATGATAAAAACATAAGCGAGTGGAACATTATGGTTAAAACATGTGATTTCGTTTTCACATAAACAATGATTAATTATCCTCTGGAACAAGATAATGTGACACTAAGCAAGATGTTTAATTTTTAAATGTTTAGATATTTTTATGAATGATTCGTTTACAAAAAACGGTTATTTCAGAGATATTTTACTGTGACCTAGACAAACAGTACTTCGATATATTATTGTACCACAACAAATGTTGAGTTCGGTTTGCCATTTATCATTTACACTTACCGACAGAAATCAAACGAGAATACAGTAAAGGTAATTATTTGGGAAAATATATTAAAGTCTGTACGCGTTAAACATTTCTTTTCGTTTTATCGTTGAGAATATAGACTCCAATATGCTTACAGTTGTCGATATAGGCAACTGCGCTTTGCGACATAACAGGGACTACTATATGACATTTTCCAAAATGAAATATTCTTGAACATAATTAATATGCCAGTTTCGTGCAACGCGATGACGTTAGGAAGGATAGACTCCATTTCAGTGTGTACGTCGGATGATCTGCCCGTCACTGACGTTGTTGACAACCGCGTCTCGACTAGCAGAGCTGGCGACGGCGTGAAAAACAAAAACAAATTAAAAATAATAAACGCAGTCAATTGGTGACGAGACGTAACTGACGAGAGGTGCTGTTAAAATAAAAATTTATTAAAAGCGAATATCCTTTTTTTGTTTATAAAAACATGCTCGAGTATTGTCACCGTGATAATTGGGGGGAAAAAAAGACTAGACGAAGCGACCTTTTTTTTTTGGCAACGTCTAAACGCCGCGTACATTAGCGCACGGATTTTAATACTCTTCTCGCGAAGATGGTGTGGCCCTAAACGGGGAGGGGCCCGGTCTAAGTGTCACGTGTTTTATCCTACTCTTGAAATTTGTCCCGGAATGTGCTTGCACTCACGTTCGCTAATTCCGGTGGCTGATCTGACTGTCATCCGGAGGGATTAAATGGTGAAATAGTTGAACTATTTTGTGTCTAGGCATGTGTTGAAAGCGCCCGTGGAAAATAAATGCAAAATAAACGGTTTGGCGTTATTAGTCATCGGACAGTTCTATAAATCGCATTGAAAATGTTTTAGGCTGAGCAAACTATGTTTACATGGATGCAGTTAATCAAACATTTATTTTTGTAAATTTATTCTTGGAATATATATATATATATATTTATTTTCATTTTATTCTTGCAATATCTTTATGGGATTTTATTGCTTTTGAAAGTACGTTTATGCACAACATTTTAATCTCGTATCGGTGTGATTTTATAAACGGTTATTTTTTTAGAATATAAATTAATAAATCACCTTATTAATTCAATTTTTAGAGTTTAGGGTAAGCGTATCAAATGTAATTGGAATGTAAATGATTCAATGTAAATTAATTACGTGTAATAACTTTGACGTTAGCCAGCACTGTATCTGGTAGAAATATAATGTCACATGATTTTGTTAAAATGAATCATTCTCATTAAGCTGTTCAACCGGTTGTCTCGAAGTACAATGAAACCATTGAGCGGGAGCTTAAAATTTGAATGGTTAACTAGGTGTAATGATAATAAACAATAAAGTATAGCTAGTAATGTTCCGTATATAGGCACAACGTATAATAATAATAATACATAATAATTATGCGCTATTGTTTTCCGGTACACAGACATCATTGGAGACAATATAAAGAAAACATTCAAGTCGTAACTCCATTCAGATTGATTGACGGGTTTTGTTCTCTTTATAATGTATACTTATTTAAATTTCGCGGTTAAAACAAACGCAATCTATACACATTTTTATTAGTTATCTGCAATTGGATCGTGTTAGTTAATTGGTTCGCGTATCGAACGTTTCACGGCTAATGTTTTATTTTAAATCTGATTTTGAAGTATAACGATTTGTTTTTTTTCCCCATCAGGTACGGTGAACGCCAACGGCGAAACGAAGCGACAAAGGACATCGTACACCCGATACCAGACGTTAGAGCTGGAAAAAGAATTCCACTTCAACCGGTACCTGACCAGAAGGCGGAGGATCGAAATCGCGCACGCTCTCTGCTTGACCGAGCGGCAGATAAAGATATGGTTCCAGAACAGGCGGATGAAATGGAAAAAAGAACACAAAATGGCAAGCATGAACATGGTGCCATACCACTATCACATGGCCGCGCAACCTTACGGCACTCCGTATCCGTTCACGCATCTGACCACCTGAGATTCGTATTATTAATTTAACGGTTCTCGCTCGAGCGGCCTGCGCTAGTCGCCGTTCACGTTGCCGTCGCCGTTCGATCGTGATCACGGCCGTTAAATTAATAACATTCTCAGACGCTAAAAACACACCACCGCGGCAAAAATATTATTTAATCGTTCTCGGATTGTCCACAAAATTATATCGCTGTGTAAATAATATTTATGTAATTTATGTAAATAAAATTAAGTATAAATAATTTATTTTATTTCGCTGTCACTATACTTAAAAACATTGTCGCTTAAACACGTGTCGCCATTAAGACAATTATCGCGTTTTGTCTGCGTGCACATCAAATGATAGTCAATGAACAATTTTTTTTTTTTTTTTCATTATTAGTTACCTCGATTAATTTAAATAATGAACTATGACATTTTATTTTTGAAGCGTAACAATAACCTGATTACGTACATTAAACAAAATAATTTTTATTGTACACGAAATCAACTTAAATTCCAAAAAAAAACTACTTAATTATATATTTATTGCTGTTCTTTTGTTTGGGCGTTTTTCGGGGGTTTAATTGGTATACTTTTAATTTTGTCTCTGTTTCTCGTTGTAAATATCGATTAAGTACTTGTCTGTAAATAAGATTAAAATATTTAAACGTATATATTTATGAGTTGTGTTGTAATTATAATATTTTCTGTAAATGTGTTAACCCAGAGTCTGTGATTTTTCTTTATTTTATTATTACGTTTTAGTTTTGTAAGAGTACACGATATTTATAATGGCATCAAATAAATATACCCAAGTTGTTTTATTGCATAATTATTTTTTTTGTTTTATTGTTCGATTTTTTTATTATTACTATAATTTTATTCTCCTAAAATAATCTGATTTCCCGATTTTTGTTGTTTTTTACTGTTAATGAAAAAAAAAAAAAATAATAAGTATTTACATATTTAAGTATATTTTTATTTTATTTTACCGTTTAAACTTTGTACTCGGATAGATTCGTAAGTGCAATACATACATTATTTTTTATTTATTGTAAAAACAATAAAAAAGTAAGATAATAAAATTTAAATAATTAATGTTAATTAGATGTTATTAATAGAAGACAAATTTCTCTAGTAGTATAAAAAATTAATAGTTATGATAATTTATTTGTAATGATATTTATACTTATTTAACTTGTCAATTTACTGTTGACAAAAATGCATTGTTTACCAACGCAACTACATTATTGACTGCTTTTCTGTTTTTGATTAATTTTGCCCAGGATAAATTAAAACTACTGCACTTAAATTGTTTGTACATATAACTTAACAGATTATTACTAAAAGTCAGTTTATTTAAATAAAAACAATGTAAAAACAAAACCGGGAAACAAGATTAATGAATTATAATATTTATACTATAATAATATATAAACAAATATATACACAATGAATATAAAATATATAAACTTGTTATTATTATTACTTTTTTTTTATTTATACGAATTAAAAAGTAACCTTGGTAAATCATCATCAAGTTTTTAAATGATATTAAAAAAAATGTATATTTTAAGTTAATTTGACTGATATCAGAATCGTTAAACACGAGAAATTTCTAGAAATATCATAATTAATATCAATGATATCAATTTGTAGTGTTATATAGCTTTGTCGTTTAAAATGTACAATTTAAAACATTTTTATAAACACAAGATTTGTTAATCTTTATTTTTATATTATTTACAGTAAAAACTTCTTTTTTAATTTTTTTGTCCTAGCTGTTAGTGCCTTTATATACATAGACATAATTTCAATATAATTTTCGGAATGGTTTTATATCTAACTTTTTCTTTCTAAAATTTATGTAGTTATATTGATATTTTTTTTTTCTGAAATTTTGGGATGGTTAAGCCCCTTAAAGCTACCACCAATCTGCGCCTATATTATTTTTCATAAATAAATATTACCAATATGTATTACACACTACACGAGTATAAATATACTCACAATTATGTTGATAGTACAAATAAGTGGCTCTATGAAACTAGGGGGGCCTAGTGTATTCTCAGGACCAATGAACTTTGAATTTACACAGTATTATATTAATTGTTGTCCAAAGAAACACTGTTCGATAATTTTCTACTGTAGAATATTTGTGTTAAAATAAAAAGAATCAAGTTTATAATTAGGGTATAGGATTGGCAGATAATTTAATAATGTGATTATTAGTATTTTGATTATTTTCTGAACGCTTACATTTCATACAAACAATTTTTCATTATTGCAAAAAGTAAGAATTGGATTGTAATATTTTTTGTATAAATCAGCTCTTGTTTTAGTAAAAATTAAAATTTTGACTTTAAGAAATGTTAGTTATACTTGTAAGTGGCTATATAACAACTTAATTGAGCCTCGAATTAATGTAAATTGATAAAGTAACTGGATTTCTTAACTTAACGTAAAGTCATAACTTCAGATAACATTTTTATTAATGAAATAATAAATAATGTTATAATACAATAATAATACATTTGCAGTGATAATGCTTGTATTCAATGCCTATTTATTTTATTGTAACTTTATTCCAAAAATATCAATAAAATAATTATAAAACCTTGTAAGATTTTGATGTTAAGATATGTATATTAATACTTGTTTTTTTACACAAATTTAAGACATCTTTTCTTTTTATTTGTAACAAATTTTTTATATTTTACCAAAAGCCTTTCACCCCTTAGAGACACGCAAGATACTATTAATCATGTCAGCAACAAACGGCACTATCAATCGAATGTTTGACTTCTATGTCGAAATCTCTATAATGTAACAGTACTAAAGTACTCGCGCCCGATATTATTGAGATAGTTTTCTTTTACTTATTTCGTTCTTTTTATTTCATTTACCCGATATCGAACAAAAAAAACAATAACAACGATTCAGTCTTTTTTCTTACTTTTAATGCATTTCATTAATATAATTCATATAAATTACAAAGGCTCACAGAGGATAGCAGTAAAACAACGTTGTAAAAATACCACCGCGGGGCTTTCATCAGAGTTGTTCGGCTGATTGAAAAACAGGCTCGTGCGCCTTTAACTTTATTCTCTTAGAGTAATGACTTTTAATTGGAAAACTTCGGGGCAGCAGAAAATTCTTGTGCAAAAAACTACAATCACCCTTTCAGTCGATAAGGGTTGTTTTTTATTTTTCCGTACAAAAGTTACTAGATTGTTGAAAATTCTTACATAAATTGGAAACTGTGCTTCGATATCTGATTTGTTTTTATTGCTATTATTACTTTTTTTACATAACAAATGATATTGTGTTTTGAATTAATAACACTTTTTACAAAAATTGATCTAACACGTCTACTAGTTATCATTAGTCAAAAATTAATAGTTTTTTATGAGTACTATAGAATAACCTTTTTTTTTAAAATAATTTTAAATAAGTATAGTTATTAACATGATAAATATCTGTTCTCGTAAGATATTATCACATAGCTTGTAAGTTATATAAGTAATGTTAAAATAAAAAATTTGAAAAATAATTTAAGTACCTATTTCGCTTTATTTTTATTAATATGTTAGAAATTGTTGTATTATTGCTGCTTCACATAATATATAAAGCAGCCACCACAGTCCTAAATATCTGTATAAAATCATACACATGTAGTAAAAAAATTTGAACGTTAGACCGAAACGACCTTTTGGTTTATCTGAGATACACTGACCTCGGGTCCCATACCAATTATGTTGATCACAACCGAATATTACCATTGACGTCGTCGAGTTAAACTCCAGTAGCTGTATCGATGGTCTGATTTTTAAAAATCATTTTTTTCTTAGTATTTGATATTTTTAAACTTCAAATCATTCATCCGGTATAATTATGCATGTAAGGGTCGTCTAATTTTTATTAATTGATTTCACCTGAAGGTGTGTAAATCTGTAGGCAGCCACAATATTATGAGGAAACCGCTCATTTTCTACTTAATCACGCACGGACTGTGCAGTCTGTCGTGCCATCGATCAAATCGTTTACCATGAACACGAAATGTGTACGGACATTAACGCGTTTCACGGCTGCTTAACTGAACTTTTTTTTTTTCCATCGATACCAACTCCGAGTGGTTTCTGAAATACGGTCAACCGTATTGTTTGGTCACGATGACCTCACCAATGGTTCCCTATAGACGTCTTTTCTTTTTAAAACTGATAGTTCATTTAGAATTTAGATTTTAACCGTCAACCGCGGTCTTTTTTTTTAGTGTTTAAAAGGAAGTACGAACGTGTAAAAAATATTATAATGCATAATAATGACACTGACTTATAGTCTAAAATAAATGTGAGGAAAAGTCACTGGCACTATGAGAGTTGGTCATAATAAGTAGTCTACACAAGTCCAAATAGTATATAACACGTTGATCACTAAACGCTTCGATGCAAATCTATTATAAGAAAGGAGTTTTGTACAATTTTTAAAGAGAATGATTTATTTCTTTAAGTCATACTTGGAACCTTCATTAAAGATACTTATTTTTAAGTAACTTATTAAAAAAAAATAAAGTAGCAAATATTTATCTATTAAAAATTGCACTCTTTAAATTTTACATTTTTTTTAGTTTGATAGCTGATCACTAAAGTTTGGGACTTTGTACATTTATATAGTTTATTTTGATCATCCCTAGTACATATAGATGTTGATGTTTGTTTTTCTTAACACTAAATATAGTACATTAATTTGGAATTAAGTTATGGCTGGCGTGGGGAGATTTCGCTCCTAGAATAAAAAATTTTGTTGTGCTACTATACCATTGTATATTTTTACGGGACTAGGTGTATCGGAAGTTGTCGAAATAAATTTTATAAATGCAAGTCCCAAACCATACTTACTATTTTTACATGTAAAAAAAAAAAAATAAGTCGCTAGGGAAATTTTTTAAAATTATAAATTAAATTTAAAAGGCGAGACTTTATTTAAATATTTCAAAAATTGAAATACATTTTTTTTGTGAACTATATGGCTATGTAAAAAAAACCCCGATTTATAAAAAAGTTTTTTTGCCCCAAAAAAATAAATTATGCATTTTTTTTCAAATTTTTTAAAGTAATGTCTTCAACTCGATTTTTCTTTTTTTGTGTATAATTTAGCAATATTATTCTAATAGAAACAACGTACAAGGGGTCACAGACAAAACAAATCATGATAAAAAAAGTTTTCAGCTTGGCATTAAAGGTGAAAACGGAATTACAATTTGCAACTCACATAAAATTTACTATAGTACAGTATTGTTGGACTTTTATAAACAAGTAAAATTAAGAAATCGGAGAAAAGTGTTAATAAAGCCTAACTAATTAAATAATAAATAAAATACAAATTTATTATATTTGCAGTTAATATCGTAATGTACTTTACAGTTTTTTGCAGTTACAAGTATATTTTATACAAGTCCAAAATATAACCTTCAAACCCTATGAATGGGTAACATTTTATTTCCGTTTAAAAACGATGAAAACTTTGTCACTAGTATATTAATTTCTTCTTCTTTTTTTCTTTATTCTGTAGTTTTTTAATACCTAAAAACTAGATTGAACTAAATTAAATTATACCTTAGATACGGTTATCTAGTGAAGGTAAACATTGACACAATGGTCTTGTGTGGTATAACTTTTTCATCCGGTATATCCGGTGACATAATGGTCTCTACAACAACTTTATGTCTATTTCAATTATCTACTCTTGTCTTCATGACCGTTTACTTCAATAGTATCGAATTCAACTTACGGAGATTACTCAACCATGTGCCCGATGGACATCATTGTAGTTATCTTCTGATTATACTGTCAAATACTAACAAGCGTGGAAAACCGATTGAAAGAGGTACGTGTCGTCGAATGCGTTCGAAGGAAATACTCAAACTGACCGCACAAGCAGAAATAGCAAAACCGTTTTTCCGGTGTGTACATGGTGAGTTACTATAAAAAATCATTGGCAACATAATACGTTATATTATAACATCAAGACAATAGAAAATGGTAAGCATTATCTACTAACTTGTATGCCTGAATAATGAAGAATTATTCCTTTTTTTACACTTCAGATCTAGCTGATATCATTTTTGTTTTGATTTTTATAATGTTTCCATTTATATTTTAACAAATGGTTTATTATGCATAATAAGAAATTAATTTAGTTAGACGCGTTAATGTGAAATATAAATACAAAATATCGATAACTTCATTAAAGTTATATAGTTAAACTGGTGTACCAAAAACTTCTTTAAAATATTTGTAAAATTTGATAAACATTTATTGTTAATTCACAGAACTAACCATAATACTAATATTATTACTTAGTTTTTTAATATAACTAAATCCAAAAAGGTATTACGATCTTCAAATAATATTTTTTCATTTAAATGCTGATAAATAGTAACAGTATAATAAAATTTTCAAACATTTTATACTGACTATTTG